GCGGTGGCGCACGCCTGTAATCCCAGCGGCTCAGGGGGCTGAGACAGGAGGATCGCGAGTTCAAAGCCAGCCTCAGCAATGGTGAGGCGCTAAGCAACTCAGTGAGATCCTGTCTCTAAATAAAATACAAAATAGGGCTGGGGATGTGACTCAGTGGCCAAGTGCCCCCTGAGTTCAACCCCTGGTACAAAAAAAAAAAATGTTGGGGGATACCTGGGAGCAAAACGCTAGTAAGGAAAGACTCTTAGATGTCAAGCATCCCTGAGGTCTTATCCTTCACTTTTCAGCCCTCGAGTCATTCATGGGAAAGTAAACTGCGTGATTCGAACCCCAGCTCTGCCCCCTAATACTTGAAACAAGTTAGTTAACTGCTGGGTGCTTTAATTTTGGTATTGGTAAAATGAGGATGTATTATTCAAGCGGGGTGACTGTGGAAGCTAAAGTAGGAGGATCGCAAATTCGAGGCCAGCCTCAGCAATTTAGAGCAGCCCTAAGTAACTTAGTGAGACCCCTTCTCAAAATTTAAAAATAAAAAGGACTGGTGGTGTAGTTTCGTGGTAAAGTGCCCCTTGGTTCAATCCCCAATACATAAATAAATAAAGGATTATTAATCCTGGGGTTGTTGTGTGGATTACTTCAATTTATAAATGTAAAGTGCCTAGAATAATGCCAGGTATGGAATTAGTACTGTAAAAGTGTTATGTATTATTAATAATATTCCTGCCTATAGTGAGTGCAAGTCATCCTGACTGGGTGATTTTCTGTGCCAGGAAAGATTGGGTAATGAATCAAATAAAAAGACCTTCCTCTACCCTGAAGAGGAAGACAGTTCTGGTGCAGTCTGCTGTCAGGATAGCCTGGGGCAGGGTGGGGGGGCATGGGGGGGTGAGAGCACCAGGTAAGAACTGGGACATTGGTATAGGTTCAGCTTGAGTAGGATTTGGCTAGGGAAGGGAGCAGGGAGCGAAAGCAGAAAAGATGTAGCGGGATAGAGGAACAGCCTGGATGACCTGAGGATATGACTGGAACCACAGTAGAATATGAGAAGGTTGAGTGGGCTGACCAGAAGCTCAGGAAGGATAAGAAGTCTGCAGTTGTCCTGAGGAACACTGAAGGATTTTAACTGTGGGCTCTGGGTCTCTGCTCCTTAGACAATGAATGTGAATGTGGGGGGTTGGTGAAACCAAAGGCAGAGAAACCAGGGAGAAGATAATTACTTTATCTCAGGCAAGAAGTGCTGGGAGAGGGGTGTGAGTGTATGTGTGTATACTGATTTTTTTTTTAACTGTGGCTATATATTTTCTAAATATTTTTAAATTTTTAACAAGAGAGTGCTACACGAGGGGTAGTGGTGCATGCCTGTAATCCCAACTACTCCAGAGGCTGAGGTAGGACTCCATCTCAAAATAAAAAGAGCTGCAGATATAGCTTAGTGGTAGAGTGCTTGCCTAGCATGCACAAGCCTGAGTTCAATCCCCAGAACTACAAAAAAAAAAAAAAAAAAAAAAAAATTAAAAAAAATATTGAAAGAAAGTAGGGGACCTCTTGGGAAGCTGTCTTTAAACTTGGGAGTTGGGAGTCCTCACCATGATTGGACTGCCTGAGAAATTAGGGAAAGGTCTCCATAGACCTTGGGAAAGAATCTCTGAATCTCTGGCTTTCCTCCCAGCTCCCTACCCCCACATGGTACCTTCCCCTTCCTAACTTCCTGACAACATTGTGGAGTAAAGCCAGGAGGCATTTAGATATGCAGGCAGGCACTGCTTTAGCACGTGGAAGAGGGAGAGGGAAGGTGTTTCTGGAAGGGAGGGCAGCCTGAGCAAATAGCAAAGAACTCGGAGTACTCCTTGTGCGCCAGAACTTGGCGCTCACGTGCCCGCGGGAGGCGGTGGCTGTGACTGCCAGGGAGGCGTGTGGCGTCTGGTAACTGCCTCACCCCATTTGACCCGGCGCATTTACCAGAGCTCCGCCAGAACTCGCTGCTGCCCCCAGTGGTGAAGATTGGCCATGAACCACCCAAGTCTCGGTTAAAAACAGTGTTGGTTAAGCATTACTGTTTTGATTTTTCCTAGTGGTGATTGAACCCAGGGGCGCTTTACCATTGAGCTACATCACCAGCCATTTTTATTTTTTATTTTGAGACAGGTTAGGGCCTCAGTAAGTTACTAAGGGTGGCCTTGAATTTATTATCCTCTTGTGACAGCCTCCTGAGCCGCTGGGATTACAGGCTTGGGCCACTGTGTCAGGCGTGTGCCCAGCTGTCTTAGGCGGGTTTTAATGTATTGTTTTCATCTTTATATCCATCCTCTTGGGAAGGTACCATTATTGTCATCGTTTTACAAATGTAAGGACTGAAGCACAGAATGATAAAAAGACTACTCCTGCAACACACACACACACACACACACACACAAATTCTGCTCCAGCCACACCAGCGTCCTTGCTGTTCACTGAACAGAGCAGGCAAGTTTAACTTCAATGCCTCTTGCTGGCTGTGTGCTCTGTCTGGAACACCCTTCCCTTAGATACCCATATAGCTTGTTCCTCACCTCCTTAAGCTGTGCTGTCAACCGAATGAAACCCACCCTGCCCATCCTAATTAAAATTCCAGTCTTCTCCATACCCTATTCTGCTCTACTCTTTACCCATAGCATTTATCACTAATAACAGTATTGAAGCCAGAATTAGACAGGCAGTCAGTGTAGATAGGTAAATCGAGTCAGGTCAGATCAAGGAGGCCAATTTTTTTTTTTTTTATACAATACTTTTATTTTATTTATTTATTTTTATGTGGTGCTGAGGATTGAACCCAGGGCCTTGCACATGTTAGGCGAGCATTCTACCACTAAGCCACAACTCCAGCCCCAAGGAGGCCAATTTTGAGTGAGTCAGGGAAGTTGAAGACTGTCCCTTGAGAGATTGAAATGTTAATTCCTTCAGAGCCCTTCCTCCACCCTTATCAAGAACCTGCCCCTGCTCCAACCTGTTGCCAAGGTAACCTGTCCCAGGAACTGCCCCTTCCTACAGGGAGCTATAAGGTTGTTACTGCCCTTCCCCCTTCAGCCCACCTTTTCCCCCACCTTTGGGACATCCTACCAAGCATTCCTGGGCCTAGTCCTGGGCCTAGTCATGTATGCAGGAAGGAGAAAGATAAGGAGGAAAAGGCAGGAGAACAAAGGATATATAAAAAGGGCAGAACACCTCGCTTCTTGGGATACCAGGATGCCAGCTATGGCCCTCTTCTCCCTCCCGGGAGAAGTTTATGTTACCCTATTTAAATAAAGCCTGCTTTATATGCCTCTGCTTGCTTCTCTAATGTTCAAACTTCAACATGTGGGGAGGCAGGACTCATCACCGATAACCGACGGTATCACTATCTCTACACACGTACATATATGTATGTGTATATATATATATACACACATATGTATATGAATGTATATAGTGTGTGTGAAGTACTAGAGATGAACAACCCAGGGTCTCACCCTGGTAGGCAAGCATTCTGCCCCCAAACTACACCCCAGCTCCTGTACTTATCATTATTAATTGCACATTTCCCCCTTCTTTTCAACAATATAAGACAAGAGCATGAGTATTTGCCTTCTTTAATTATTTATTTCAACATCCTAATAGTAATTCCTGGCACATAACAAGTGCTTAAAAAACATTTTTATTTATTTATTTATTATTTTGGTACTGGGGATTGAATCCAGGGGTGCTTAACCACTAAGCCACATCCCCAGCCCTTTTATTTTTTATTGTGAGACAGGGTCTTGCTAAGTTGCATAAGGCCTTGCTAAGTTGCTGAGGCTGACTTTGAATTTGTGATCCTTCTGCAGCAACCTACCAAGCTGCTGGGATTATAGGCAGGTGCCATTGTGCCTGGCAGTCATGAACATCTTTGAAGACCATTATTCTGCCTACCACAATCTCTAGAGTAAGAGGAATGGATCTGAGAAAGAGCAGTCACATAGGGAGGAGAACCAGCAGGAGAGTGAAATATCACAGAAGCAAAAGGAGGAGAGTTCCCAGGAGGGAGTGCTTAACAATGACTAATACTATTGGGAAGGCAAACAAGATAAGACTTGAAAAATAACCATTGGACTTAGCATCCTGGTGACAACCACCTCTAGTTGTCAGGGGAGTGTTTGATGGAGGAGCTGTTTATGATATGGGCAATCAAAGAATAAGTGAAGAAGCAGAGACTAGAAACATAAAATATATTTCCAAAAACTGGACTGTGAAGGGGAGGATGAGGATCATAAGGTGGATAGGAGAGGGAGTGGTGATTCAAAACTCCTGGCTAAGGGAAACTTGTTGCTGTTTCTAAACAGGAAAGAGAAACAAGTTTGTATGAAGATGAAAAGGGTGGAGAGGTTGAAAGGGAGATGGGACGACTGTAAAGGGGAGCTTAGATAGGAGAGACTGTTGGGTTGACCCCTGCACAGGGTTTGCTAGGAAGATGCTAAAATAGTGGAGAGTTTAGAAAAGTATCAAAGGTGTGGACACCCTTAATGGAACTTGAGAAAGTGCTAGTGAGGTAGGAGGGAATGTCTAAGCAACCTCAGGCAGGAAGGACATAGCCTGAAATATTAGTTTTAAGGGACATGCTTGCTTCCTGAATGTGATGGCAGAATCGCTGAATTCCAGAGTCCACTGAAAGTGCCAATGTTTAGAACAGGGCTTGGCATAGAGAAAACGCTAAACTTGTGTGTGTGTGTGTGTGTGTGTGTGTGTGGCTGGGAATTGAACCCCGGGCCTCCAGAGAATGCTAGGTAATCGCTCTCTTGCAGAGCAGTATCCCCCAACGCTTATTTTTTAAAATTCTAGGGACTCCATTTCCCTTGATGCCCTGCATCCTCTCCTACTCCAATTCCCATCATGCCTGATAGCCGCCTCGTCTGCAATTAAGTTCAATTCAGTTTACCAGTCCCAGAATTCCTAGCTATTTCCCTACCTTGCCCTCACGCCTGTTGAATGTCAAGAACAACCAATTGGATCCGAGAGTGGGAGAATGGCAGGCCAATCGCCCAGTCATAGAGGTGGTAGAGGACGTGGCCCTACTCTGCCAGTCCCTGCTCTGTGGCTGGTTCTCTTCCAACTGGCGCCTCCGGCTGGACCCGCAGACATGGGCACCACCTGGAGGAATCCTGGGTGGGTGCGGTTTGCCCTTTGCCTCACCGGTTTAGTGCTTTCCCTTTACGCGCTACACGTGAAAGCGGCGCGCGCCCGCGACCGAGATTACCGCGCCCTCTGCGACGTCGGCACTGCCATCAGCTGTTCGCGCGTCTTCTCCTCCAGGTGCGCGTGCAAGTAGAATGCTTTGGCCCCGACGGAGTCTGGAATCCAGGTGCCCAGGGAACGGACACTTTGAAACCGAACTGCCCAGCAAATCGGGTGTGCACAGGGGCTGGGCTACCAGAGATAATAAAGTTCCAGATAAGAGAGCAGGGCACAGGGGAAGATAGTCCTGGGGACTGGGACTGGAGATCGCACGTGGATCTGGGTGCCAAAGAACAACGGTTAACGGGAAAGAGGGAGAGGTAGCGAGTAGGAACTGACGTGGTCTTGAGCGTGGCGCGAGGGGAGGGGAATGCTGGTAATGACTGCCTGGGAGCAGGAGACTAAAGATGGCTGTGCTTGAGGACCAGGGGTTTAATAGTTAGTGCGATGATGGAATACGGAAGAAGGGAGTGGGTGGCCAGGAAATTGGATGTTTGTGAGTCCAGGGCTAGGAGAATGTGCCCCAGATTTTCCATCTTGGGAAAAGGTTACGCCATCCTTGTCATCTAAAGATTATTGAAGGTCCAGGATAGAGAGGTGCCTGGAAGAGCAATGGCCAGCCCTGGGGATAAGGGAGGACAGGGGCAGTGATACGGAATCCTGACGTGGCCAAACATTCGGGAGGTCAGGAGGTCATGGACCTTTGGATCCCTCGGGTGGATGGGGAATAAAAAATTGGGGCAACCAGCCCAGGTGGCTTCTTGGAAATCACCTTTCTAGGACAAAGTCCAAGGCACTAGCTTGACACTACTAACCTGGGTCCCCACGACCACCACCACCACCAGGTGGGGCCGTGGCTTCGGGCTGGTGGAGCATGTGCTGGGAGCAGACAGCGTCCTCAATCAATCCAACAGCATATTCGGTTGCATTTTCTACACGCTACAGCTGGGGTTAGGTGAGTGGCCCCGCCCCTTCCAGCTAGGCAAACCCAGTCCCACCCAGACAGTTGACAGCCAGCTGCTCATCACTAAGCATTCTTGGGGCAAGAAGGCAGGGAGGGCACTAACAGGAGTCTTTCAATTGGTTTAGGTCAGAGGCTGACCAACCCCTAAAGACTTCCTAGGATCCTTTTTATATTTTATTTTTATAAAAATTTTTATTATTTTTAGCTATACATGACAGTAGGATATATTTTGATATATTTTACATACATAGAGTATAACTTTTTGGATCCCATTTTTGTGGCTGTACATGATCTGGAGCATCACTGGTTGTATATTCATATATGTACATAGGAAAGTTATGTCCCATTCATTCTACTGTCTTTTCTATTCCCATTATATTTTATTTTGAGAGAGGGTCTCCCTAAATTGTTTAGGGCCCCATTAATTTGCTAAGGCTGGTTTTGAACTTGTAATCTTCCTGTCTCAGCCTCTTGAGTCACTGGGATTACATGCATGCACCGTGCCCCTGGATCTTTCTTTTTTTTTTTAAGACATGCCCAAACTGGCCTCAAACTCACAGTCCTCCTGCCTCAGTCTCCCAGTAGCTAGGATTAAAGGCATGTGCCACTGTACCTTGCCAGAAGTTCCTTTTTGAGGAGAATCCAAAGATAACCCTTTCGTCTTGTGTAGAGCTCTGTAAGAAAATTCACTATTTGGAAACCTGGGATCATTGAACAGATAGGTAAACAAAGGTCTTAGAGGGGGTCTGCCAAAGTGTCTTGTTTAGAGACCTTTCCCCTGCAGTCTAAGGAGCACCAGAAGTCATGACAGTGTTTTAGATGTGGCCATTCCTTATTTTTTTCTGCTTTTGCAGGTTGCCTGCGGGGACGCTGGGCCTCTATCCTACTGATACTGAGTTCCTTGGTATCCCTTGCTGGTTCTGTCTACTTGGCCTGGATCCTGTTCTTCGTGCTCTATGATTTCTGCATTGTTTGCATCACCACCTATGCTGTCAACGTGGGCCTGATGTTGCTTAGTTTCCGGGAGGTTCAGGAACCCCAGAGCAAGGCCAAAGGACACTGAGGCCTCACCCCAAACCAGGCTGACCACATCTGCTTTGCTTTAGCACATGAGCCTTGCCCAAGGGGGCCATGTCTGGGTACCTAGAAAGCCCTTCATCCTCCCCCCTCCCACATCCCTTCCATAACCATACACAGGAAAATGGACCAAATGTGCCTCTAGCTCTGACCCAAGGGCAGGTTTCTGCAATTGCCCAAGGATAGAAGGTTCTGAGCAATAAAATTTCTTAAATAAAGTTGGTTAAGTCTGAACCATCTGTCTGCTAGGGATACTGGTTTTGGGCTTCCCCCAGTGTTGCCTTCTCTGGAACTGGGAAGGATGAGTCAGAGGGAGAGTGGAGGGCCAGTCTGGGAAGGGTGGTTGTGGTTAGTCTCACCTCTAGTAGTGGAGTCAGCAAGGTCTGGGCACCATCAGCTCCCACCCTCAGGAAATAGGCTGGCAGCTTGTCCTTCCTGCCCACAAGTGCCAGACCTCCAAGCACATACCTGCCAAGGACAAGATGCCCTTCTGGCTCTGGGCATATGTGCTGTGAACATCTTCCTATAATCTCAGTCCCTCCAACTGCCTTATCTACCATTCCAAGCCAGTCTTGGCAGTTTTGGAGGGTCAGGGCCAGGTTGTGTTTTTGTTCTTCCTGATAAGTACTGATGACTTGCTCATATGCCAAGCACTATTTTAAGAATTTTTGTTAATGTATTTAATCATTGTAGCAATTGTAGGAAGCAGGGTTATTAGTATTTCTATCTTGGTTAGGAACCTGAGGTACACAAAGGTTGTAATTTGCCTAAGATCATACACCTAGTACCAGGAAAGAATTAGGGAGATCTCAGGGTTTTTGGTTTTTTGTTTCTTCCTGGAGGGCCTCACACATATGAGGGAAGTACAATACCACTAAACTACACCCCCAGTCCCATATCTGCTTCTGGGTTGAGGTTTCTGGTTGGCCTTAGGTAGAAGTCAGAGAAAAAAAGATGCACTCCAAATATTCTCTTCCAACGTTTCCAGCATTTGTAAGAAAAGTGGGCATCAATGTAACCTTATTTCCTGGGAAGGTAACAGGCCCAGAGAGAGATTGGGATTTGCCATAGATTCATGACCAGCAAATAGTACAGAGATCTGTTCCCAAACCTACCTTTGTATAAACCGTCTCTGAAGCAGACATCGGGAGAAGGTATGTGAAGCCTACCTGGCCCTGGCCTGAGATAGGCAGGGAAGACAAAATAAAAATGGAAACTAGGAAGGTCTGTCAACCATATCCTTCACAGCTCCAGGGGAATGTTTCTATGCTGGAAGCAAGTTTATTAGAAGCCAGGCTCTCATCAAAGCATTTTCACATTCAACAATTCTGAATATTTTTGTTTGTTTATGCCAGGGACTGAGCCCAGGGGTCTTTAACCACTGAGCCATATTCCCAGCCCTTTTAATTTTGAGACAGGATCCCACTAAGTTGCTGAGGTTGGCTTTCCTCCTGCCTTAGCCTCCTGAGTCACTGAGATTACAGGTGTGTGTCACCATGCCCAACATCAACTCTTGAGTTTTGTTTATTTTCGTTTTTTTTAATATTTTTTAGTTGTAGATGGACATAATACCTTTATTTTATTTATTTATTCTTATGTGGTGCTGAGGACTGAACTCAGGGCCTCGCACGTGCCAGGTGAACACTCTACCACTGAGCCACAACCCCAGGCCCCAATTCTGAGTTTTTCTGACAAAGGCACAGACAAGTTAACTGTTCAAGGTGACTTAAGTAGTAAGTGGAGGAACTGGGATTTGAACCCAGGAAGTCTGGCTCCATGGTTAAGTCCCAGAGAAGGGTGACTGACCAGCTCAGGGTCACACAGCCATAGCCCCAAAGCTAAGAGCTGCTGGCTACCCTCCAGCCCAGAAAAAGCTATGACTACTGACTACTAGCCAACTGGGGGCGGAGCAGAGGTGGAGCCAGGGAGACCCAGGTGGCCTCTCTGACAACCACAGTACAGGCAGCAGAGTGGCCTGGAGCAGCATGAAGCAGAGCTGGAGACCAGTACTGCTCATCCTGGGAATGGTGGTCCTTATAGAAGGTAAGCCACCCATTGGTGAGGGAGTGGGGAGTGACATGGTAGGGGTTCACAGGCCACCCTCTGCTCTTCAGCCCCTGCAATTTGGTGAGGGATCCTGTCTGGGGCAACAGTCTGCCTAAGATGATGTCAGTGTGGTTGTTTGGGCAGGGGGATATGTGACCACCTATGTCAAAATGGGTATGATTTTTTTGAGCAGGGTTAATCTGTGTCTGCAGGGACTATCATTGTGTCTCTGGGTAGTCCTGCCTATGTGTATATCTTATGCTGTCTGCCTCTCTGCTTTCAGACTTACCTCAGGCAAGTTCAGGGGCACCCCTGGCCTGGGTATTTGTCTTTCCTCCATCCCATCTTGGATCTCTCAGCTAATATGTTCAATGGGTCTATGTATGCCTGTGAAGGAGAACAGGCAAGGCAGGGACCCTTTGGTAGAACCCCTGGCAGCTCCTGGGAAGCTGGGGAGTCTGGAGTTGTTAGAATAGGGGTGGAGTGAGTCTCAATCTTTTGGGGCTCTTCCCCAATTGGACATGACGTAGGCTTCTAATCCTTCTCTTAGGCCTCCACAGCTAAAGAGACAATTAAGCTAATGCTCTCCACAAACACAGGCTGCCTCCCTGACTCAATGCTGGGGGCAGGAGTTGGGGGTTCTTAAGGCTAAAGGAAGGTTGGTCTGGTCCCAAGCTGAACCCCAGGCTCTGTTTCTCAGGCCCAGGAATGATGAGCACAGCTGAGGGAGGAGGACTAATTACTGAGTGTGCACTCTGAATGGGTTCCAATAAAAGCTGTTTCTCGGCCTCATATAAATATTTTCATTCTGGGAGGGGCTGGTGAGGTAGCCAGAGTCATAGGCAAGGACCCAGGGACTGTCCCCACTGAGCCTGAACCAGGAGGTTAGGTGCCCCCAAGCCTCACCTGTCTCTTTTTTTCCCCCAGGTCTTCAAGCAGCTCAGCGTGGTAAGCTCTGGGGAAAGATGTGGGGACATGGAGGCTGGGTCTTACTTGGGTCTGGGTCAGGCCTGGGGTGGAGGCAGGACAGGGGTCAGCAGTCTGTCTGACCCATCCTTCTCCACAGTCTGTGGGCAGCGTGGCCCTGGCCCCCCCAAGCCTCAGGAGGGCAACACAGCACCTGGTGAATGGCCCTGGCAGGCCAGTGTGAGGAGGCAGGGAGTCCACATCTGCAGTGGCTCCCTTGTGGCAGACACCTGGGTTCTCACCGCTGCCCACTGCTTTGAAAAGTGAGTCATGGTTGGGGTCAGGTAGGGTCTCTGGCTTAGGGGTGGATGATTTGTTCCCATGCCCCACAAAACTAGTCCCTGCACCTAAAATTCCATTTGATAATCTGACATATGTCAGGTACATATTCTCAAGTTAATTTTAACAACAACCTTGGGGCTGGGAATATAGCTCAGTTGGTAGAGTGCTTGCCTTGCATGCACAAGGCCCTGGGTTCAATCCTCAGCACCAAAAAAAAAAAAAAAAAAAAAACTTTCATGGTAGGAACTCAGAAACTCAACCTTTCATTTACAAATGACTGAGCTGGAGAGAAAAGGAATTACTGTGCTTAAAGTCATGGACTGATATCTTCCCAACCTTCCACCTACCTATGTCGTCACTCTCTCCTTGCACTCAATAGCCTGGGTCTTACCTTTCCTATTCCAGGGCAGCAGCAACAGAACTGAGCTCCTGGTCCATTGTCCTTGGTTCTCTGCAGCGTGAGGGGTTAAGCCCAGGGGCTGAGGAGGTGGGGGTGGCTGCCCTACAGTTGCCCAAGGCCTATAACCACTACAGCCAGGGCTCAGACCTGGCCCTGCTTCAGCTTGCCCACCCCACAGCCCATACACCCCTCTGCCTACCCCAACCTGGGCATCGCTTCCCCTTTGGAGCCTCTTGCTGGGCCACTGGCTGGGATCAAGACACCAGTGATGGTAAGTGCCGTCCTAGCCTAAAGCCCAAAGAGGCACTCTGCTATCCCAATGACACATAGTCTTATCTCCTGCCTGTCCCGGCCCCAAGTCTCCCTTGCTTCCTAGAACTCAGATTCCAGCCTTAACCCCTATCTTTTTGCCAGCTCCCAGGACCCTACGGAATTTGCGCCTGCATCTAATCAGCCGCCCCACGTGTAACTGTCTCTACAACCGGCTGCATCAGCGGCTCCTGGCTAGCCCAGCTAGGCCGGGAATGCTGTGTGGGGGTGCTCAGCCTGGGGTGCAGGGGCCCTGTCAGGTTTGAGGGGAAGGGAAAAGGAGAGGGAACCTAGCCTTGGGCTGGGGGGCTCAACCCAGAGAAGAATAGAAGGGCTGCAGTCAGAGGGTGTCTGTCCTTGTCTCCATTGCCTGACTCCAGGGAGATTCTGGAGGTCCTGTGCTGTGCCGTGAGCCTGATGGACATTGGGTTCAGGCAGGGATCATCAGCTTTGCATCAAGATGTGCTCAGGAGGACAATCCTGTGCTGCTGACCGACATAGCTGCTCACAGCTCCTGGCTGCAGGCTCGCGCTCAGGGGGCAGCCTTCCTGGCCCAGAACCCAGGGACTGTGGAGACCAGTGATGAGGATAGCTGTGTAGGTATGAGCAGAGTGTTCAGAGTGGGGATGTATGGGGATACTGAAGCCTGCATGAGGATTTCTGGGCAGCAGGTGCAGGTCACAATAAAGCAAACTTCAGTTCAGAATAGAGTTGAGGGGCTGAGTTGTGGCTCAGTGGTAGAGCACTTGCCTGGCATGTGTGAGGCCCTGAGTTTGATCCCCAGCACCACATATAAATAAATAAATAAATAAAATAAAAAAGATCCATTGACAAAAATATTTTTAAAAAATACAGAATAGAGGGGGCTGGGGATGTGGCTCAAGTGGTAGCGCGCTCATCTGGCATGTGTGCGGCCTGGGTTCGATCCTCAGCACCACATACCAACAAAGATGTTGTGTCTGCCGATAACTAAAAAAATAAATAAATATTTTTTAAAAAATACAGAATAGAGTTGAAACAACACACTACCAATGGGCCTTTAAGGCCTCTTTTGGCCCTTGGGATGGGAATAACCCCATTGGGGCTGAGAGGTATAGGATGCTTGGAGCTTTATGGGTTTGGAGTTTAGGTAAGAAAAGGGATCACTGAGATTTGAGTGGAAGTTTTTTGGGGAAGCTACAAGCTTCCGCACAGAGATTCAGTGAGACAGGGCAGGGCACCCACTCAGACACCTGGCATTAAGTGACTGACATGCAAACTGCATGCAAAATAATTCCTGGGAAGGAAGCTATGTCTTGATGTTGAGAGAAGCCAAGTGAGCCAGGAATTCTGGAGCCAGTCCAGGCCTGGAGGAGTGCAGATGGGTTGAGCGGGGGAGTGATGAGCAGGGCCCTTCCTGGAAGACTGGGACAGAGTATTGTCAGACCATCTGGGTTAAGAGCTCAGGTTGGCTTTTGAATCCAGGAGCTCCCTACCACTACATCTCCAGCCCTTTTGTTTTGAGGAAGAGTCTCACAAAATTGCCCAGGCTGTCCTCTTACTTGTGATCCTCTTGTCATAGCCTTCTGAGTGGCTGGGATCGCAGGCCTTCATTACCACTCCCAGCCATCCCTGACTTTTGAATCCCAAGTCTGCTACTTGCTCTTGGTTTAAGAGCTAGAAGAAAGTCACTTAACTTCTCAGGAACTTTGGTTACTTCTGGTAATGAGGGTAACAAAAGTCAATTTAAAAGGATATTGAGAGGATCTGATAGCGCATGGGAAATATTTAAGCACAGGGCCTGGCACACAGTGAACACTTAAGTCAAATGACATAATTCATCTTTTTCAGCCTGTGGATCCTTGAGGACCAATGGTCCCCAGGCAGGAGCCCCCTCCCAGTGGCCCTGGGATGCCAGGCTGAAGCACCAGGGGAGACTGGCCTGTGGCGGAGCCCTTGTGTCAGAGGAGGTGGTGCTGACCGCTGCCCACTGCTTCATTGGGTGAGCTCTTGCACCTCTCCTTTGTGCCCCTTGCCCCAGTTCTGTTACCCAGTGCTCTCAATGCTGCCTCTGCACAGGCGCCAGACCCTAGAGGAGTGGAGTGTAGGGCTAGGGGCTGAAACAGAGGAGCACAGCCTGAAGCAACTCATCCTCCATGGGGCCTATACCCACCCAGAGGGGGGCTATGATATGGCCCTCTTGCTGCTGGCCCAACCTGTGACACTAGGCCCCAAAGTGCGGCCCCTTTGCCTGCCCTACACTGATCACCACCTGCCTGATGGGGAACGTGGCTGGGTCCTGGGGATGGCCCACCAAGGAGCAGGTATGTAGAACCAGGCCATCAGGAGTTGTCCATCCAGCCTAAAGGCCAATGGGACATTCTGATTCTTTTCCCTTGTCCTGTAGGCATCAGCTCCCCCCAGATGGTACCTGTGACTCTTTTGGGGCCAAGAGCCTGCAGTCGTCTGCATGCAGCCCCTGGAAGTGATGGTATCCCCATTTTGCCAGGGATGGTGTGTACCAGTGTTGTGGGTGAGCTGCCCCACTGTGAGGTGAGACCCAGTTCATCAAACCATACCCAACAGACCCCCAGCCCTCCCTCAACCTGCAGTTTATGAACAGACTTGTCAGGCTTGGCTTCTAGCTCTAATCCCACCTGAAAGTAATCCTTTCTGCCAACTAGCCCCCAAACTGCCAGAGATCCAGTCCCTAGCCCCTTTCGCTCTTCCCCAGTTGCCTAAAGAAAAAAAGGAAGTCACCCAGTGTCACCTGACCTCACAGGGCCTGTCTGGAGCACCACTGGTGCACAAGGTGAGGGGCACATGGTTCCTGGCTGGTCTACATAGCTTTGGGGATGCCTGCCAAGGCCCTGCACAGCCTGCGGTCTTCACAGCACTCCCTGCCTATGAGGACTGGATCAGCAGTTTGGACTGGCAGGTCTACTTCGCTGAGGAGCCAGAGCCTGAGATTGAGGCTGGAAGCTGCCTAGCCAACTGGAGTATGTGACCCCGAGGGTTTCCTGATGAACTGCCTTTCTCTAGACTCCTCTCTCAATCTAGGGAGAGCACTATTCTAACCCACCTGTAGCTGACCTGGATGGGGAAGAGCACTGGACAAACCCATGTGGATGCTAGGGAGTAGGCCTCTTAACCTCTTTGAACCTCAGTATCCTCATCTGCCACAGGAACCAAGACAGACACTACTCTTTTAAGGGAGGGAACTAAGTTGTGAGGATGAAGCCAACCCCACCCTACTTTTTCACCTTGACAGGTCAACCAGCCAGCTGTTGACAGGTGACTCTCTAGGCTGTTCACAGGACGCGAGAAAAGTGAGGCAACTCCCACATCAACTCCTCTGCCCCAGCCTCCACGCCATGTGTAGTTCCAGTCCCTGAGGCAGCCCAACAGCTCATCTGGCTATGGGAAGAGCCTGCCCAAAATCAGAAGATGCTCCCACTCTCTGCCCTGCAGGACAGAGATGTCACCTGTGGGTCTTCCCACACTCAGCTCTGCTGTCCAATGCAGGCATCCCCAGTTCTCCCTATACTTCATTCTCTCAGATACAATCACACCAGTCATCTCTTTTGAAATTTTCTTTTTTGGGGGGGAGCAATTTTCCATTTTTTAAACTTAAATAAATTGTTACAAAATAGACTTTAGAAAATAAGTTACAAACTGTAGCAAAAGGCTCCCCTTCCACAGGCAACATTCCCACTCCTGGTGCTCTGAGTCTGCCACTCCCCAGCGTTGGAATCTAGCTGGTGAGGGTGGCTCAGCACCTTGGCAGAGCCTGGCACCAGGAAGAGCATGGTGACAAAAGCTGGGGGAAGAAGGTCCTTCAAGGGCAGGGACATGAGGAATGACCTTTCCCCTTCTTGGGAAAGAAGCTAGATGTGGGTCCTCTTCACAGGGAGAGGAGAAAAGAGATGGGGATGCCCAAGCTACTCCTGAGCAAAACAAGGAGATCAAGCCCCTCTCTGCCTGCACCCCCGCTCCCTCCAGTGTTCTGATCTTTGGAGACTTGAAATTCAGAGGGAGAAGCTGAGGTCTGCAGGCCACTGGGGTGAAGGGTCCAGAAGTTGGGTTGTGGGAGTGGGTGGAGGGGGCAATGACAAATCCCCTCTGCCTGTTGCTGGTGCCACTGGGGCTCCTGGGAAGAGAAAGAGAGGAAGTCACCAACTTGAGGGGGCAGATGCCACATGTTCCCAGGCTGCAGGCCATTCCTACCTGCCCATGGTCCCAGAGGTCCATATGAAAGCCCAGAAATTCTAGGATTCCCAATTATTTTCCCAACTGGCACTCACTCCATTTCCCTTGAAATCATAAGAAATCTTTTATATTGAGAGTCATCCCTTTTGCTTCCAGTGGATTGTCACCCACCATCCTCTCCCCTGATAAGCTCTGGTGAAGGGCCTACCATCTTAGGATACCCACCCTTGATGGCCACTAGATGGAATGGGTCCTCCTCTCTAGAGGAGGAGGAGGAGGGATAGAGCCCAGGGCTTGCTGAAGGAAGAGGCTGTCCCACTCCTCCACAGCTTCATCCTTCAACAGGCTGGGTGGAGGCGAGTCTACACTGAGATCCCCTCGATAGAGGATGAGAGATAGGGGCTAATAACTGCTATTACTATAGCTAAGCCAGGCTTCAAAGAAATAATTATCTGTGACTCAGTCCTCCAAGTTAAGGCATGCAGGGGGTGGGGGGTTGCAGGTGGAAAGGGTGGTTTGGTTAGATCCTAAAAAGATGGCCAGCAGAGGGAGAACATAAGAGTTGACTAAAGAAAGAAAAAGAGATGTGGGAGCAAAGGTCCTAGGAAAGGATTAGAGGCCGAGTTTCCAAGAAAAAAGAGCAAAGACAAGATATAGGGAAAGAGGGACAAGGAACTGCGTACTGACCAGTGACCCAGTTTCCACAGCCAAGTCAGTAGTGAAATCATAAAGCAGTCAAAGCAGAGGCAGTCACTGACTGAGGGGGCTGATCCCACACCTCACCCAGGCCTGTAGGCCATTTCCCCCACACCCACCCTATATGAGAACACAGGAATCCTGGCATTCCCAATAATTCCCCACCCATGCCCATTTTGAGAAAGAAAAAAACCTACACAAAATCAATGACTTCACTTTTTTTTTCCTCTGAAAATAATTACTGGCTGAATCAGGAGGGTTTCCATATATAATAGTCAAGAAATATTCAGCTATTCCCTCCCTTACCAATGAAACAAAAAGGAATTCCTCTTTGACTATATAACACAGGAGCCTACACAGCTACCTGCCCCAACCCACTACACTATTTATCTGACCATGGTTTGGTATTAACGTTTTCATTTTACAAACAAGGAAGCTGAGTCCCTGAGAGGTTGAATGATGAGCTCCAGGTATCACTTTAGGGGAAAGTGGGGCTTACATGTAAATTCTAGTTAACAAAGCATGTGTGCTTCCCCTATGGTGCCTCTAAAATAGCTAGGGCTGCCTTTCAGCTGGCCCACTCTCTATCCTACACCCCAAAGAGCTTGTTCTTATTTGAAGTGTCAATCGGATTTCAAAATGAGTTTAACCCATACATTTATGTGAGCCCAGGATCCACCCTACATTATTTCAGTAATAGTTGCATTTCCCCTTAGAGTCTACCCCTAAGACACTCTCAGGCCACGAAGCCTGAAAGATGCCTCAGCTCACCTCTGGGATGAAGCATATAGCAAAGACCTCGTCCAGTCAACTTATCACTTCTCCTTGACAACAGAGATTGGTTCAGATCTCAGTTGCTCAAAAGGCAGCATCCTTGAACTAGTTTTCTTCACTTTAGGTCCCCTACCCACTTAAAGTATATGTAGCTCTCTCATTCCTTATCCCACACCTACCTTAGGGCCTGGTTTTACCTTCCTCTAATGCCCACCCTCTTTCTGTGACCCTTCAATCCTCTACCCAAGCCCATTCATGCCCGCTTACCAGATCTGGCCACTGTCCATTCTTCTTGGTGTTGCTGCTGATGCTGCAGGAAGCTGATTCGGCGGCGGAAGTGGCGGGGACAATGGGGACAGGTGAAAGGTCCCTCACGAGGTGCATGGACCCGCCCATGGCCCTCTAGCCGGGCAGCTGTCCGGAAGGCTTTGCCACAGATGTTGCAGCGGTGGCGTTTGGGGTCTGTGTGGGTCCTGCCATGGTTCTTAAGAGACAGCAGGTTAGGTAGAAGTTTAGGGCACAGGGAGCAGGGATACAGTCCAGTGGTGTGGGCCTTCTGGTGGTTCAGCAGGCTCCCAGCATGGCGGTAGGAACGCCCACACTGGGCACAGCGGAAAGGACGCTCCTTGTCTTCAGCTGCTATGGAATTTACTCCTTGCCCTCCACTAGCTTGCTCAGCAGTCTCTTCTGGAGCCCTGGGGTGTTCTGAAGTGGCCTCCTGAGCTTTCTCTTGACCAGGGAGACCTGCTTTGTCCTCTATAATCCCAGCTTGGGGACCTCTGGCCTCCTCTATCTGACTTGGCATCTGACTGTAGCCCTTGGCATGAGTCTGCAGATGGGTGACCAGTTCATGGTGGCACTGAAAGGCCTTGCCACAGTCAGGGCAGGCAAAAGCCTGAGCAGCTATGTGGTTGTGGCTGTGACTCTTAGTGGCTACAGGGTTTAAGAAATTCTTGGAGCAAAGCAGGCAATAGTGGCGATCTGTCTTGTGGGTATTATGGTTCAAAAGGCCATCTGATTGGCAAAAGGTCTTACCACATTGGCTACAAGTATAGGAATGGCTCTCTGGCTGGAACTGAGAGCTGCTGTCTCCATTGTCCCAGCTATCCACATGACTCAGACTAGGTCCATTGGACTGACTGTCAGGAAGATGGCAAGGACTACTGGGGACATTGTCTTCTGGCTTAGTTAACAGCTGACCCTGAAGAACCCAATCTCCACTGTGATTCATTAGTTTCCTATCTCCTTGCCACCCATCTGCCTTCCCCATGCCCCATGACAGTGGCTCTGCAGCATCTGAGCCTTCTGCCCTGATGGGGCTCTGACTGTGTTCCCCTGGTCTTATGGCTCCATCTTCTACCTGGGGTACTGACTCAATACTACCTGATCTGTCTTTAAGTCCCAGATCATTGGCCAGGTTCTCTTCATTGCCTTCTGTACCACTTGGGTCTCCATGGCCATTGGCCAGCTCCTGTTTAGTCTTTTCCTCATGCTCCCTCAGGTGCCGCTCTAGAGATCCCCGGCCAGGAAAGCCCCGGCCACAGAGAGCACAGCGTACAGCTGCCCGCCGGGACCGGCCTGCCCGCCGCCGCCGACTGTCAGAATGCAGCCTCTGATGGTCCTTAAGGGCCATGCGGTTTGAGTAAGTCTTGGGGCAAGTAGGACAGCTGTATTGGCCTGTCTCATGGCTGCGCCGGTGGTTCAGGAGGCTGCCTGCATGGCGGTAGGTCCGTCCACACTGACCACATCGGAAGGGACGATCTTCTCGAGTCATCTTTTGGGTACCCCCACGCCGCTCAAAATGGACTCGCTGGTGACTAGCCAGCTGTTTCCTCAAGCGAAAGGCCTTCCCACATTCGCTGCAACGGAAACGCCGAGGGTCTGCATGGATGCGCCGGTGGTTCTTGAGAGACATGAGGTTTGAAAAGCCCTTGGAGCAAGCCTGGCAGCCAAAGTGGCCAGTCTGATGGCTCTGCCGGTGATTGATGAGGCTACCAGCATGTTTGTATGAACGGCCACACACCTCACAGCTGAAGGGCCGCTCAGAGCTGGCCTCTGTCTGACAGCCCTTCTCTGCCGTCTCCAACCTTGGCTCTATCTCCTCCCCCTTCACAGTGGTCTCTTCCCATGCCTCTTCCTTCACTCTAGCCACCTCCTCCAAGGGCTCCACTTTAAGTTCTTCCTGGAGCTTTCCGACTTCTGCCTGCTCTGGCACCTTCTCTGCCACATTCTGGGGCTCACTACTGCCTCCTGCCTCTGGGATGGGTCCCACTTGAGGTTCAGAGCCTTTGCAGCGAGGGTGGTTCCGCAGATGATTACGGTAGGCAGCCAGGTTGGGGTAGCAGCGGGAGCAAACAGGACAGATGAAGTCCCCAGTCTGGTGGATCTTGCGGTGGTTCACTAGGCTGCCCCCATGGCGATAAGTCTTGCCACACTGGTTGCAGCGAAAGGGACGGGGTTGGACCTCCAGAAAACTTTCATCAACCTGCATGCAAAGGTTGTCTGCAACTGTGCCACCTACTTCCTCTTCAGACTTTGTGTCCCCACCCTCTCCAGAAACAGAGGTCACTATGCCCTCAAAGACACTGTCAGCAACCACCTCTGTGGCATCGTCTAACATTTCCAAGCAGCTGGAAGCCTTGTCTGTGGTGTTTTCTGAATTCTGACTTTGGTGGTGACGTTCTAGGCTCCCCAGGTCATCATAGGTCTGACCACAGCAGCCACAGATGTGCCCATAACCTGCTCCATCCAATGCTTCCACCTCTCTCTGCAGCTGATTCAGCAGCTCTGCTTCTGAGAGTTGCAGTGGAGGGGATTGGGTGGAGGCCGCCTCTACAGCTCCTTCTTCTTCCCCCTCCTCCTCTGAGCCCTCAGTCATACCAGAGGAATTGTGAGCCTGGCGCCGGTGAAGCCTGTAGCCAGCTCGCCCAGGGAAGATCATACCACAGAGGCAGCAGAGGAAGGGCTGTGCTGAG